CTACCTTTTAAAGACTGATCGGGAGACTCATCTACCTCACCAACACTCGCCCTGATATCACTTATGTCGGTCATCGCTTAAGTCAGTATGTTGCTTCTCTAACTCAAGCTTATCATCAAGCTGGTTTCAGAATCCTTCGATAATATCAAACAAACTCTTGGTCAGAGATTATTTCTAAAGGCAACCAAGAACGTTACTCTGAAGGCTTATAGTGATTCTAACTAGGTTGATTGCCCTGACTCATGAAAATACATTATTGGCTACATTGTTTATCTAGGTGATTCACCCATTTTATGAAAGTCCAAAAAGAAGTCTACCATTTCACGCAACCTTTCTAAAGACAAGTATCGTGCCTTAGCTCAAACCGTTTGTGAAATCCAATGGCTCAATAATCTCATGTATGACCTTCGCCTACCCTTCTCGCAACCTGCTACCATCTTTTGTGACAATCTCTCCACCATCAAAATTGGCACTAATCAAGTCTTCCACGAACGAATGAAGAATATAGAAATAGACTGTCACCTTATATGAGAGAAAGTTCAACAAGCCATTTTCAAACTCCTCCTTATTCATTAAGCTTTACAACTCACATACATTCTTACCAAACCACTCCCTCCTTCCACTTTGCACAATATCAATTCCAAACTTGACACCATCAACATCTATGCCAAGCTTAAGGGGTTGTTAGAATATCAGATCCTAACCTCCCTAACCTCCATCCGTTTTTTGTTTTTTGTTTTTTGTTTCTCCTTTTTCTCCATATATATATATATATATATGTATGTATGTATGTATGTATGTATGTATGTATGTATGTATGTATGTATGTATGTATGTATGTATGTATGTATGTATGTATGTATCCTCTTCTTTCTTCTATGATACAATAATATTCACATAATACACATAAGCTCTTTTCATGTTCTTCTATTTTTCATCTTCTCTTTTCTGCTCATACTCGTGGCTCTTTGTTTCTTCATCATGTACAAACACATGCATGTTTTGCAGGTTTGCTTGTAAATGCAATACATAAGCCACCTCCAACGCAGCTTTTCTATGAGTTATTGTTATAATATAAATAGTAATTGAAAATATATATTTGCTATTTCTTAAAGGAATATGACATGTTTGATTTTAAGATACAATAGTCCAAACTTCACTCAAACTCAAAACTTGTATGTTGGTTAATTGAATCGAACTAAAGTTTGAATTGTTTCAATTCAAAACTATTAAATCAAAATTAACAAGTATCATGTGTACACTATTTCACTTTTTGGTTAGATATTCCATTACATAGCAATCCATCTTTGGATTCTCATTTTGCTGCTGCACATGCCGTACTTTTATTTCCATTTTCTATTCTTTTTTCAACACTGTCAAAGGTATAAGGATGGCAATGATAATGATAGGTAACATTTTAATTTACCACTCAGGTCTATTCTTTCTAACAGATCTGCAACTTTAATCATATAAAGTAAACTGGACGCTTCTGAGTTCATGCACAGCCGCATAAAGAACATATATACCTATCTATAATGAGACATAATTACACTTCCTATAACATACATTGTTTCTGCATTATCTGTGGAGTGTGTTATTGCAAGTTTGGCATCAACTCACAAAATCCAAATATATTTTATTACCATATTTTTACTTCACTGAAATTAAATGTTTCTACTCATGTTTATTGAGGTAGATGTTGAGCCAGTAATTCTTCATTTAAACAATGTGGCTGGTTTCTACAGAGTGCCCTTTTATCAGTGTTTTAGAGATGACAAAAAGAAGCATGAAAAGAGGCATAGAAGGACCAGATGAAGGAATATTCAAAATCAAAAGCATTCACTTCCACATTCAAAAGTTGCTTTTTTTTCCTCCTCTTTCTTTATATATAGCGTGGAGATAGCACTAGCAAAAGAAAAGTAATATTATTAGACTGGTTTAACTTTAGAAAGATATCATATACATGGACACATATTCACTGAGCAAAGTATCTTTTAACTAGTCTACTCATTATAATAATACAAATTTCTCTGATGAAGCCAAAGACAATCAAATTCTTCATCAAATGGTTTATGTGATACAAATTGAAACTGAATGCCCTTCAGGAATTCATACCCTTGGAAAGGTAGAGACAATTTTAGATAACTGATAAATCAATTTCACACAAAAAGAGCTTCATGTCTTAGAAATTTTGATTTGTTGCACCACACACTAGCCAGAAAAACTAAAGCCAAAACCAGAAAAAGGTACCTAAATAAAAAAAAAAAAGTCATGCCTAAGTAATAACAATCAGAGTACGTAAGTGCACACTGCAAAACAGTCACAAACTTTGTCTCTTCCAAGGATCAGCTATTTTGACAGTCAGCAACTGAACTGAGCTTCATACTTTCTTGGAATTAGATTGAAGCTTCAAGCTGAAACATTTCTGAGTGCAGAAAAGAAGAACAACTCTATATCCGGTGAAGCAAAAAATACTACTGGAGATCTATTTGATGAGCAATTGGGTATTACCAGTGCCCTTCTCTTCTTTGGAGCAGGTGGACATGTTAACACCTCTGGTATTCTGGACCTTTTAGCCTTTGGTGTAGCACAGCCACTTGAACAAACACCTTCACTACCATCTTCCTCAACATTCGTAAAACCTTGTTCTTGGGAGCGAGAAGAAGCAGTAGAATGATCACATGGCCTTCTCATTGATCTTTGCTGCTTCGTTTCCTCAAGCTTCTGCCACTTGATTTGAGTTCTTGTGATAGAGGTTGACGCCATATCAGGCTCTGCCACAGCAAAATCTCTAAGGGGTGCAAGCTAAAACACCAGCACAATTTTTCTGTGTGTGGAAAAGCTCAGTTTGCATATCTAGAGTGGACACAGAATAAGACTCTAACTTTATTTGGTTTCAGCCAAAACCAAGGGTTGTTTATACAGAAAGTGAGAAACCATGGATTGATCACTCAGCTGAAAATACATAGTCTCAGTATGAGAAACATGTGAAGGAATTTTCAAAGCATAAAACTATTTGAGAGGTTGAAAAGTTTCTTGGCCTGCCATAAAATATAATACATAATCAAATATATAAATATGAAATCCTGAACTGCTACCACTGGAAAATTTATATTAACTTTTATTCAAAGTGTATTGTTGATAAGATGGAAAACTCTCGTAGAACCTGGGTCAGCTTACTCTTCTCTATGAACAGGAATCACACCTTTTTGCTCGAGGTTATATATATAGGGTATAACCCTCATTTAGTACTGCAAATCAGGGGCGTAATTACGTTAACAAAGTGTCTTAAAAGATACTTAATCAAATGATACAACTTTTAATGGAAAAGTTAACATTTCAACCAAAAGTTACAGAAGCCGCAGCCAAGAAAAGATAAAGCTTTTAAAAAACAATCATTTTTCTCTTCCCTTTGAGTTGAGGATTAAAGAGATTTTTTTTTAATAAAGTTTTAAAAGTGATTTTAAGATTTTATTCTATCAAAAATTACTTTAAATGATAATCCTTAGCTAGATGATTGCATAATTTTGTTTATATTGTCAGTATATTCGCATTCAGGTGTCTTTGTGATGCTTAAGTTTATTTAATTTTATATAAAAAAGAATTATATATATTTCAAATTTTCTCTAATCAGATTTATTGAAGATGATGTCGGCATTTCAATTCCCTTGATTATACTTTTGAAATAATAAAATCATGATTGAATTAGGTAAAACTTGTTTCTATTTCGATTTGCTGAATTTGAACATTTTTTAATTTATATTTGAGGTAAACAAAATTGTTTATAACCATGTCATTGGTTGTATTGTATGGGCTGGAAATCTTAGAAAGTGTTTGATTTTTGTTTCCTGTCAAAATCAAACTTATTTTACTGTAAAGTATTAATGTTTAACAAATTAAAGATTTGAGAAAAACTATATATAATCAGTCATTTATATATCTAGAAAAATATAAATATGATTGGAAATGGATTCATAATTTTCAAATATTGTGATTCTTGGATAAAAAATTCTCCAATACCAAACATGTCTAAGTTTGTTCCAAATCAATATGATCTTCGTTTATTTTATTAACTTCAGTTTAACCAAATTTAATTTTACATGTTTATTGCAAAGATATTTTCAGTTATTTTAGGTTCACTCCATTATTAAATTCCAAATGAAAAAGTAATGTAAAAGGATAATTTATGCGCTAAATTTGTGGAAAAACATATGTATTAATTATAATTAAACATTTAAAGACCCATTTTCAACTAAATTTGTAAAGAAAAAGTCATTTGTGAATTATATCTAAAATTATACTAAGTAAATAGATAAATGAATTAAATACCCATGAAATCTTGTTAGAAAAACACAAACAGTATTTTTCCCGACTATATGATCTTTAGAATCATAAAAAACTTTAGGCTATTTTACCATGCACTTCTAAACATTTTATCTGCATTTCCAATTTTTTTAAAAATAGTCCTAAAATTACATTTTTCTTGGTCGGATTTTAAAACATGATAAGAATTTCTTTTAGATTTCAAAATCTAATAAAGGATTTTTCAAAAACTTTATCAAATTTTAAAATTTAGTGAAAAAATGAAAAACCTTTCATTGAATCTTGAAATTTGATAAAAGAAGATAGTAATTCTTTATCAAATTTCAAAATTTAATAAAAACAATTTTTTCACTAGATTTCAAAATCTAATGAAACACAATATAAGGTTTTTTGAATTATAAAGACAGTTTTGAAATTTAAAAATTTTTGGAAGTGAAGATGAATTGATTGGGAGTATAAGATAACACAGCCAAAACTTTAATTTTCCAAGTTCATGATCAAAACTTTAAATTCATATTAAGTATTTCATCCTACACCTCCAACATCTCATCTCACTTCCAAAATTTCATTTTTAACCTTTTATCATTTCATCTTATCCTACACCTCCAACTTTTTCAAAAAATTATCTTTTAATTTTAATAAATATTTTTTATTTTCTTTTTTTTATTATTAAAAGCACTATACACCACTTTAATAATAATTAAATTTAAAATTCAAATATTATTTAATATAATTTTATATTTTAATAACTATTAAAATATGATTTATAATATAATAATAGTTATATTAAAAATATAAAAATAAAATAATAAAAATAAAAATAAAAATAATGACAATAAAAATAAAATTATATTAAATAAAATATTTAATATATTTAAATATATTAAATCATATTAAAATATTAAATTAAATTAAATAATTATTAAAATAAAAATAAAAACAAAATTTCAAAAACAATTATCTATCAAATATAAAAAAATTATATTGAACAAAATATTTAAATATATTAAATTATATTAAAATATTAAATTAAATTAAATAATTATTAAAATTAAAAAAAAAACAATTATTTATCGGAGATATGAATATATAACTTATCGGATATCCGATTAACAAATTTTTTAAAATTTTGTTTTTGTTTAAACTTTAATAATTATTGAATTTGATTTAATATTTTAATATAATTTAATATATTTAAAAATTTTAAATATTATTTTTATTTTTATTATTATTACTTATTTTAGTTATTATTATAATTTTTTTAATAAAACTATTATAAAAATATAAATTATATTTTAATAATTATTAAAATATAAAAGTCTAATAAATAATATTATAATTTTTATTTAAATTTAATATTTATTAAATTTTAAATAAAAAGAAAAAGTGTTAGCATATGTTACGAATTTTAATATCTGATAAACACGTTTTTTAAAATTTTGGCTTTTATTTAAAATTTAATAATTATTTAATTTATTTTAATATTTTAATATAATTTAATATATTTGAATATATTAAATCAAATTTATTATTATTATTATTATTATTTTTATTATTTTATTTTTATGTTTTTAATATAATTATTATTATAATATAAATCATATTTTAATAATTATTAAAATATAAAATTATATTAAATAATATTTAAATTTTAAATTAAATTAAATTATTATTAAGGTGGTGAAGAGTGGTTTTAATAAGAAAGAAAAAAAATGGAAAAGTATTTATTAGAGTTAAAAATAAAAATTTTGAAAAAATTGGAGATGCAAAATGAGATGTTAAAAGGTTAAAAGTAAAATTTTTAGAGGTGTAAGGTAAGATGTTGTGTAGGGTGAAACACATGTTCATATGGGTGTTACTCCCTCCACCACCACAACTTACTTCCTCCACCACCACAACTTACTTCCTCCACCACCTCATTCCCCTTTTATCCTTTTTTTTATTTTTTCATTCCTAGTTTACCCTTATTAAAATTTTAGGGTTAATATTATTTAAAATTTCACGTGGACATTTATTCTCTTTATCATT